CAAAGACTATCAAAGTCTTCAGTATGGATTAAACCTCAAATAAAGAAAACAAAAATCCTCACAACTGTACCAATAAGCAACATCATGATAAATGGAGAAAAGATTGAAGTTGTCAAGGATTTCATTTTACTTGGATCCACAATCAAGAAGCAGCAGTCAAGAAATAAGTGAAGCATTGCATTGGGCAAATCTGCGAAAGACCTCTTTAAAGTGTTCAAAAGCAAAGATGTCATCTTGAAGACTAAGGTCTGCCTGACCCAAGCCATGGTGTTTTCAATCTCCTCATATGCATGGGAAAGCTGGACAGTGAATAAGGAAGACTGAAGAAGAATTGACGCCTTTGAATTATGGGGTTGGCTAAGAATAATGAATATACTGTGAACTGCCAAAAGAACAAATCTGTCTTGGAAGAAGTACAACCAGAATGCTCCTTAGAAGCAAGAGTGGTGAGACTACGTCTCACATACGTTGGACATGTTGTCAGGAGGGATCAGTCCCTGGAGAAGGACATCATGCTTGGTAAAATAAAGGGTCAGCAAAAAAGAGGAAGATCCTCAACGAGACAGATTGACACAGTGGCTGTGACAATAAGCTCAAGCATAACAACAATTGTGAGGATGGCGCAGGACCAGGCAGTGTTTCGTTCTGTTGTACATAGGGTCTCTGTGAGTCAGAACCCACTTGACGGCACCTAACAAGTGTGGAGTGTGTCTAAAGTCATTCTCTGTTTGAGATATAAAGGAGCAGATTATGCAAGCAAGCAAAGATGGGGGAAGATAGATGCAGTACCACATGAAGATCAACAAGGAGCCAAGGAACAGAAGCTAAAAAGAGACAAGGAGCTTACCCCAGAGAGGACAGAGACAGAGAGCCTTGCCCTAGAGCCAGCACCCTGAATTCAGACTTCTAGCCTCCTAAACTGTGAGAAAATAAATTTCTGTCCATTAAGGCCACCCACTTGTATTTCTGTTATAACCCAAACTAAAATCCAAACACGTTGCCTTTGAGTCCATTCAGATTCATAGTAACCCTATAGGACAGAGTAGAACTGCCCCACAGTGTTTCCAAGGAGCAGCTAGTGGATTTGAACTGCAAACCTTTTGGTTAGTAGCCAAGCTCTTAACCACTGTGCCACCAGGGCTTCTCTGTTACAGCAGCACTAGATAACTAAGACATTGGGTCATATGGTAATTCTATATTTTACTTTTTGACGAATCACCAAATGGTTTTCCACAGTGGCTGCACCATTTTACATTCCTCCCAGCAATGCACGAAGGTTCCAGTTTCTCCATTTCTCCATTTCTCCATATCCTCACCAACCCCTTTTTTTTTTAATTATAGCCATCTGCCTCTTTCTCGTAAATCTTATTGACAAGTTTCCTTGTCTCTAAGTATTCTTAGAAAACACTACTTTAGACTGCATATGAAGATTGTTGTTGTTAGCTACCATCTAGTCAGCCCCTGGCTCTTGGCGACCTCGTGTGTTACAGAGTAGAACTGCTCCATAAGCTTTTCTTGGCTATAATCTTTACTGAAGGCCTTTCTTCCGCAGAGCCACTGGGTGAGTTTAAACTGCCAACCTTTTGGCTAGCAGCCAACTGCAAACTACTTGCACCATGCAGGCTCCTACGTTTGAAGGCACCATGAGCTATTTAACCATTGGGCCATGTGTGGTTTTTCAGTCGTAGTAATGCCACAGCGAACCGCTCTGAGTATAAATCACAAGAAGTAGAATTTTGGGGTTGAAGGCCAGAATTCACTGCACCCTTGATAGCTTCAAATGTGGCCATTGACACCTCTTTGCTAATTTGATGGGTGGTGGCTTATGATGGGGCCTTAATGTTTTATTTAAGTTTTTTTGTTGTTTTTTCAGAAATGAGTTTGATCATTTGTCTTTCATTTATTAGCTATTTGTGTTGTTTTTCCTTGAATCATCAGTTTCCGTTCTTTGACAGTTTTTCTCTTAGTGTTTCATGTGAATTGGATGAGCTTTTTCTATGTTACTAACATCAGCCTGTTGTATTATTGCAAATGTTTTCCCTGTTTGCACTTAGTCTTTTAATTTTGTTTACAGGGTGTGTGTGTTAATGAAGCTTAACTCCTAGGATGATTCTTCTTCCACCGCTCTGTGCTTAGTGTTATAGGGGAAAAACATCATAAAGTTTAGTGAAGCAAAGAGAAAATTTTATTCGGCATATATTCAAAAAGGCAAAAGTGGGAAACGGACAACCATGCTGCCAGAGCCATCTCTGACCATTACAGAATCATCAGTATATATTAACATTACAAATGGGCAAAGCCATTGAAAGCTTCACCTTTTCCGAATGGCTAGAAACTGTGATCCTACATTTTGAACTGTCTTTCTTAACAATCATTGGTACAAGTTTCAGTCAGGAGGGTCTTCACTGGTCAAACAAATTTCTATTCACTAAGTGCTAATAGAAAAAGGGTAGAAAGTCTTTCGTGTTCTGTTTGATTGGCTTTATGTGAAAGTTTCCGTAAAAGATATTTTCCAAGATTATCTTAGCTATTGTCTTTATACCTCAGGGCCCAGTTGATGTGTCCTTGTCAATCCTTGTGAGCAGTTGTGAGCCCAGCACCAGCTAGGTCACATTCTCTATGCTCAAGGAGAGGGAATAATAACTCCAATATTATTTCCCAAATCATTAGACAGTCATGTTCTCCTTTCAAGATCAGATATTCCTCTTCATTTTCTTCCATTTTTCAGTTTCATTTGTATATGCAATTATTCAGTCCATCTGGAATTTAAACAACTGTCTAGCACACTAGGCAGAACAGTCCTTTCTTTCCTCATGTCACCACATGCGAGATTCCGATATGGACTGGAATCTGGTGTAGACTGGAATCCAGTGTCGACAGTGCTGTAGAGCAAAATCACGTAGCCTAAGTTAACGTTGAAAAGTAAAGAGTTTTATTGAGGGACTAGACAGCTGCAGCACAAAAGAACACTGCAGTGGGGAAACCTGGAGTCCCAGCAAATGGAACACACAAATCCAAGAGGGAGCAATTGGAGGAACACGTTTACAGGGCTGGAGGAGGAAGTACAAAACACAATATTCTGATCGGTTTACACTGATTGATGTCAGTCAAAGGTGAGACAAAGTAAAGCATAATCTTTGACATTATTGGTTATATGAATACTTTGATTGGCTAAAAGACATAATTGAAAGACGTGGGGTCAAGGGGGGGCTTCATGTTGGTTACAAAGCAATGACATGACAAAAATTTTCAGGAGCAATCTGTTAAAAAGTTGCTTTGCTCAGAGCCTCAATCTCTGGAGGAGATTGGAAAGTTTCCATCAGGGAAGAAATAAGATTCCATTCATATTCCTTAGGCTGACACAAAGACACTGATTTCCCTAACAATAATAGGAGTTGGTTCTTAGGCAACAAAGGTAGAGACTGGGAGAAAGGTTACATTGAGATCTTAGAGTTAGCTCAGTCATTTTACAAGTAGGTCAGATGCCTCTGTTTTGATTTCACCCCTTATCATGCGGAAGCTAGTGGAACCCAGAGTAGACTAGCAACTGGTGTAGACAGGAACCCCAGTGCAGACTGCCATCTGGTAAAGCCGGGAACCTCGGTGTAGACTGGCATCCAGTGTAGCTGGGAAACCATTTAGAAACCGTCCTTGTGAAGGAGGAAATCAGCTGATGAAAGGACTGTGGCCTCCTGGAGCTGTGCTCACACCCTGCCCAGCCCAGCCCGCACCTGCTGAGTCGTAACTGTGGACTCTGCAGAGAACTGCACCTGATCTGTGGACTCCTGCCCCACTCCAGTTACTGACCCAGGCCCTCCCAGGGGAGAGGGCAGGGCCTCATCCTTCCCAACTTGGCCTTTCTCTCTTGTGTAATGTAGGTTACACTGAAGGCCAGGTTCTACCCAGACCCCTAGCTCCTCTGTCCCCTCTCCCTGGCTCGTCTCACCAGGCACAGTCTGGGCTCTGGCCCTAAGTTCTCATGGTTGGCTCCAGTTGGCTGGGAGTGTGAGACCTGAGGGCCCCTGAGGAGCTTATGTCCCCAGGGGCCACAGAGGACAGCAGGGAGGTGTCTCAGCGGGTGAGGCAGCAGATGAAGGAGAGGCCGCCCAGAGCCACCCACAGTGAGCCCGGAGCCACCCAGCCACACCCAGTGCGAGGTGTTCCCAGAAGAGAAGCCACGCCAAGCCCCTTGTTCCATGTGTCACACACAGTGTGGTGTCTCAGGGCTTGTTCCCCCTAATTAAATCTAATGAGGTGGTTCTGATAGAAGGCAGGTGATGGGGTGGGTGAGGACACCAGGCAGAAGGAGAGGGGAGGTTGTGCTTTTGGACTGGGTCCCACTGTGCCATGGGGCACTGGGGTGACAAAAGTCAGAGAAACTGCCCTGGGCTTCTGGGGTGGGCCAAAGCTTCTCCTCTCACATTATTCCATCTATCTGCTGATAGAATTACAGTCCTGACTTAGCTGTGGGAGGGTGCTGTGGGAGGGGCCGGGACAGAAACTTTGGCTTTCTTTTGTCACCAAGTAGAGTTCTGACATGCCCCCTTGGCCTCCTGGATCAAGAATGGCACAGGTCCAGGCGAGGCTGGAGATACCAGTGCAACCTAGGGGAGCGAGCCCTCCTGGAGCTGTGGGGGCTGCAGCCTCCTGGAAGGTGATGTGGCTCAGCGCTGCTTCCTCTGCAGGACCTGCTTGTTGCCTGGGCTCCTGCCTTCCCTGCTGACCACCCACACCCCTCTCGGGAGCAGGTCTCATTTCCTGGGCCCTGCGCCTTCCTCCTGGGTGGGCTCCTTGGTGGTGGTGGTCCTGAGGGAGGTACTCCCACCTGCGCAGGGCTGGAAGGTAGAGGCAGGGTGCTCAGGGCATACCTTTTCCTTGGGCCCTGTCCCAACCTGGCGGCATCTGCAGGTGTTGGAGACTCACCTACCATCTCTGTGCCAGCCACAGAGCCGAAACGAAGTCATCACACAACCCAGCTTTTTTTTTTTTTTACAAGTCTGTTTATTCAAAGTATCTGAAAATAGTAATAAGGCTTTCAACAACATTTAATAAATCTTCAAGATATTAACAATATGAAATACTAAGAATTCACTTCAAAAATCCAAAGTGTTCTAGATCATTCTAATATCATGCTGCTTTGCACCTTGGTTGACACTTGTTTTGTCTGATGGGAATTCCAAACTCCTCTCTCTCCTGGACCTAAAGGCTCAGAGGTCTCAGGACTCCCCTACCTTGGCCAGTCCAAGCATCGCCTCCCAGAGTGCGGGACCCAGGTGGGTGTGGGCACGCAGGCCAAGGACAGGGATGGGCCCCCGTGGCCCTGGCGCTGGCCCTATACTGGCCAGTGCTCTCAGGTTCCTGATGGGCAGGTGGAGGGAGGGGGCAGGGCACTCTCAGGCCACAAACACTGAGGGGCCTACAGTGGCGTCTTTGGACGCACTCAGACCTTGCTGCATGTGGAACTCAGCTCCGATCTGCAGGAGGAAGGGCGGGCCAGGATGGTGGCCTTGCCTAACTCGGCTTGGCCAGGGATGGGCGGGCGTGCACCCTCCTCTTCTGTCCACTTAATAGACCAAAGTGCAACTCTGGGAGCAAGGCGCAGAGGCATGGCTACTCTGAACCAAACGTCCTTCTGGAAGCCAGTGAGGCTGCACTGACCACTGGCTGTACTCGAGCTGGGCCGCCTGGCATCTGTGTGCACTCTCTCTCCCTTGCTCCCTATCTGAGTGGGAGGCGGCCCAGCACCCTTGGGGCTGATGGGCGTGGTGACCGCTGGAATGAAGGTTTCTCTGTGAGCTCAGATGAGGGGAGAGGCAGGGTCAGCACTGTCACAGCGCAGCTGCCGTCTTCATCATGGGTGAATCCACTCAACCTGCTCGTCACAACTGCAAAGCAGAAATGGCTGGCCAATCCAAGACACCTAACCTCCTGCCCAGTACCACCAAGCCTACAGCGGCCATGTGACTCCAGATAGAATGGTCCCTGTGGGCAGCACCGCACAGGACAATGTAAACAGGGAACCAGGCTTCGCTTCATAGCAGGACAAGTCCCCTCCCTTTTAAATCTTCACAAAAGTGTGTACACTAAAATATGTACATAAGCACTTCAGAAAGTTTAAAAGAATCTCTAAAAAGTATATACAGGGTTAAAATATCTCCCGGTGTGGAAGGTGCCGGCCTGTGCGTAGGAATGTGTGTGGGCCCTGGCCCAGCCTCCCCTCTGGCCCCACGCCAAGCTTGCGGGGCCCAAAGATGCCAGCCTCAAGCAGGAAGAGGAAAATATCCCACAATCTTGGGGACAGAGACCTTGGCACGGAGCCCACAGACGCTGGCCTGAAACAGGAAGAGGAAACACTCCACAATCTCGGGGACAGAGACCTCAGTGAGGCCGGTGGGTGCGGCCCTGAGCCGGAAGGGGGAACCCTCCCAACCATCTCCGGAAACCAGAGCAAACCCAGCAGCCTTGCCAGTCCCTACCCCACCAATCAAGTGGCAAAGTGCCCAAGGGTTTCCTGGGAAGCAGTTCCAGGGAAAAGTCTCCAGAACAAGGGGAAGCATCATGGCTAAAGGAAGACATTTGGCTATGAGATATTTATTTCCACACTGAAGGACAGGTAACTAGGCCTGACCCTCTGTAGTTCAATATACTGATTTATGGACGCTTCCTGACATGGAACTTCAGAGAAGTGAGTGGCCTGGTTTAAGGATGGGCATGTGACGTCGGTGGCGACACACGGCCCCTGACCTGGGGCCACAGCTCAGACACAGCCAGCGCGTGTATGCGTGTGGCGACACTGAGACCCCGCCTGTGCCTCAGTTTGACTAGAAATGCAAAAAATAGTCAAATTTATGTTAAAAACAGGTGATCTGGCTGAAAAAAGGTAGGTTCCCATTCTTCCTTTGGCCATAGGTGGGAAGGACATGATCTGGGCCGTGACATTCTAGAACACACACCCACAGATACATAGATGGCTGTTCCCAAGGGGCAGGTGGAAGGAAGGAGACGAAGATGCAGATGCTAGGAGGGTCGGGCTGTCCATCCCGCAAGTCTGGAAGCTGCGTGCTGAGGCCTAGCCCTGCTCCTCCCCGCCCTCCTCTTCTTCCTCCTCTGTGAAGTGGGTCTGCTTCTTGCGCACATTCCAGTGCAGACACTGAGCCAGGCTCTCAAACCAGTCTCTCACGGGGTCTTGGACGCAGATGGAGGGCAGCGGGTAGCAGGACGTGGTGATGCTGATACTGAGGCAGGGAGAGATGTGGTGTGGCCAGGTGAGCCCACAGCCAGGTGAGCCCGAGTACGTCCCTAAGCTGGTCAAGCAGCAGCTGAGCAGTAGGCCACAGGTTTGTCCCCACGGGCCTCCGCCTGCCCTGACAGCCTGCCTCCCAGGAGGGGAGCTCTGGACGGAGGGGACCTGGGAATTCACAGCCAGCCCCCTGCCCAAACCTGTAACACCCTCGCCCTGCTCATGCCACCAGCTGCACCATCCTCTGACCCGAGTGAGGGGCTCCAGGGGCAACCGTGTCCTTCTGCCTGTCCCCACTGGTCAGGTCCAGGGCAGGCACTCAGTGGGTGTTGCCATGTGGGTGAATCCTTGCACCTCCCAGGACAGACAGAGCACCATAGCCTGCCTGCCCCTACCCAGGGGCCAGGAGGGGATGACCCAGGATGGTGACTAGCACCTCAAAGGTCCCTGGGGGCTGGTGCCCAGCAGGACAGAGGGGACAAGAGCAGGACCTGGCAGAGGGGATGGGATCTGTAGCCAGCTTGGCACTGTGCCCTCTACTGGCCTTCCCCCTGCAGCCATGCTGGGTACCAGGCTTCCTGATATGGACCCTGCATTGTAGGCTAGGGGCAGGGAGAAGGGGCCTTCACCTCCAGGTACATCCCTGGAATGGCACACAGACTGGCTGCCCCGTGGGCATCCCTGGAGGAGGTGAGTACCAAGAGCAGTGGGCAGAAACTCTGCAGGACAGGATTACAACGGAGTATGCAGGTACGTTGGCAGGGTGCCAGGGTCAGTGGCACCCATGCCCTCCCCCTCCCCTAGTTCTTGGCTTTTTAACCAGTCCCGGCCCACACACCTGTCCCCATGGCGGATCTCTTGTCTCTTCCGTCCATCAAATGAAACCCACGCAGTGTTCCTGGCTTCTGGGGACAATGTGATCTGGGAGCAAAACAGAAGAGGCATGGCCGCCACACTGAGGCGCAGCAGGCCCGGCATGGAGCTGCGGCACGTCTCAGGGTGGCACCCACCCTCCCGCGTGTGACCAGGGAGTCTGGCAGCAGGAGCTGCGCATCGGCAGGCGGCTCTGGCTCCGAAGGGCTCTCAACCCACGAGGTGGAGTCCCCATCCTGACACCCACTTCCCACTGGCAACCTTCTGCCCAGGCCAGCCCTGAGCTCAGAGAACTAGGAGAGAAGGCGTCATCATGTCACCCATTTCTGCCCTCATGAGGTCCACCCACACCTGGGGCCACGCAAGTGCAACTCAAGGGCAGGAGGGTGGGTCCCTGAGGCTCGGTATGCCAGCCCCAGGTGGATGCAACCCAAAAGATGTCACGTGAGAGGCGGTGTGGGTGTAAGCAACAGACCTAGTGGGTTCTCATTGGCATGGCTGACCTCCCCATACACGGGGATGGTGGGAGCCATGCTCACCTTGAGCTCCACTCCGGCAGGGACCACAATGGGCCGGAAGGACAGCGAGTGTGGGCAAATGGGGGTGATCATGATGGCCGGCACGTTGGGGTGGATCATGGAGGCTCCGGCCGCAGCCGCGTACGCTGTGCTTCCGGTCGGGGTGGACACGATCACTCCTGCTGGGACACGGGATCTGAGTGTGGCCACCTGCCAGGCTGCCCCTCCAGTCTCTCCCGTAGCCCAGCCATGCCTGGCTGTCTTCTCTGAGCACAAAAAGTTAGGCGAGCAGGGGCCCATCCTACTCACCGTCACCCTGCACTGTGGTGATGAGGTGTCCATCCAGGTAGACGTCCACGTTAGAGAGGTAGGAGGAAGGGCCTCTGTCAATCACCACCTCGTTCAGGACCTGGAGGCACAGAGGAGCTACACGTATTCAGAGAGGAGCAGGACACAGCACAGGGCGTGGCCAAGGGGACATGGCCACTTGTGCGGGGCATTTCTAATGGGTGGGCTGGGAGGCACAGTCACAACCTCCTGGGATGGGGGTCCCCAGGCCCTGCAGGGGCTCAGTTTCTCAGGGACTCCCCCAGGAAGACAGGAGGGCTCCTCTATGTGGGGGGTTCCCCAGCCCAAGGTCACCCCACATGCCTACGGACCTGGTACTGCATGACCTGCTTCCCGACCTCAGCGTCCGGGGCCAGAGAACCGTTTTCTCTGACACCGTTTGGAGCTGCTGCCTTCTTCCCTCTGAGCTCCTTCACGACCCGGACTTTGAGCCGGCTCCGGAGGACGATGGCTGCATTCCCTAGGATGCCGGAAAGCTGGCTGAGGTCAGGCGGCCCCATGGAGCAGGCGGAGACTTTGCCCGAACAGGGACCCTGCCTTCCCCAAACCGAGACCAACATTTCTGTGCCTTCTACGGAAAAACAACTCCTGTCTACCGTACAGAACACGTCTTCACAGCAGCTCCAGCCTGTGATCTGTTGACACGTTTCAACATGTTAGCAGAAAAGTGTTTGAACCATTCAGAATTTGGAAATCTCTGATTCTTGAAACTTAAACGTTGCTGTATGCGTCGTTAAAAAAGAAAACAAACACCAAAATCCCACCGAGAGGGAAACCTCGTCTGGGGCTGGGTGTGGGCTCCGGAACATTCCGACTCACCCTCTATCACCTGAGTAACTTGGGACTGGAAGTTCTCAAAGTTGAAGGGGGTCAGGAAGCCCAGGGAGCCCAGGTGGAAGGCCATGACGGGGGGCACGCTGCCCTGTGGGCGGACGAGACAGGCATTCAGGACATGGTCTGCCAGAAGCCACAAGGAATGCCCAGAGCAGCCAGAACCCAGATGCAATGCAGGTCGGGGCCAGGTGCCCCGATTCTCCTGGAGAGCCGGCATCACCGTGAGGACCCACAGGGATGGAGGAGCTGTGCCCAAGAGCTAGGGGTTCTAGCAGACACACCAGGAAGGCTGTTCCGGACCTAGGAGGGTGGACTCAGGAAGGTGGGGTCCTGTGAGCCCAAAGAGGCTCAGCTGACACGGGGCAACTGTGCCTGAGGTCAGGAACTGGGTGGCAGGGTCCAGGCTAAGCTGGAAGGAGGCTGGAGGAGGAGGCAGTTGGGAGACTCAGAGAACACACAGAACCAGCAGGACTCTTAACTGACTGGCCAGGAGGCGACAGTGACTTCTGGCTGTGGGAGGCCAGCCATGGGCTCTGGGAAAGGAGGCAGTGTGGTGGGGCAGCGCAGGCAACACCTACATGGCTGGGTGGAGGGGCTGGGCAGTGGGCGTGGACAGGGCTCTGCTGCAGAAGGAAGCCATCACCCCGTATGAGAGGCCGCTGGGCTAAGGACTGGGGAAGCAAGGAGTGCCCGCGTGAGAGCGAGAAGAGGACAGCTGGATTGGCCAAAGACGCAGCCGTCAGGGAGCAGAGAACTAGGGTGGTGGCAGCTCAGAGGGCAGGCCTCAAGCAGAAGGACAGCACTGGGCACAGTGAGTGAGACGAAGCCAGGCTGGTGGGATGCAGCCCATGGCATCCCTGCCTCCCAGCGCTCTAACACCTCAGTCCACCCCCAGTGACGAGGCCATAGGTCCCCCCAGGTGCCGGCCCCATCCACCTCAGCTTGCTTTTCTCCACTCCCCATGGGACCCTCCAGAGCGCTGCAGACTGAGTCCCCCAAGGGGTGGGGTCATTCATCTGAATGACCCTGGGCTCCCCTCCAGACCCTCTGTGGTGCCTCCATGGATCCCCCTTGCAGCCCCTCCCACCCTACATCCTTGCACCCCAGCTCGCTCTCTGCCTGGATCTGCAGCACCCCTCTCAGATGTTTCCTGTTTGGGCCTCGCACTCACATGCCCCTGCCTGTGCCCCCAACGCAGCCTGTGCCCTAGTGAGGACAGGAGCGGGGACAACGGCAGAGCATCCCGTACAGGATTATCTGCAAACTTGCTCTACCACCAAATCACTGAATTTAAGCAAGTCAGTCCATGTCCCAGCAAGAACACCCTATAGCGCCTCACCTCTGTGGCATGAAGCTGACATGGGAACATGAAAGTCACGTTCGGAAGGCACCTCTCTACCCTGCACTAAACTACAAATGGGCTCGTCTCACACGTCACCTGGAAGAGGGATGAGGCGTACAGCAGGGTCCCATCCCCACCCAGGCAGATGATGAAGTCGATTTGATTGGAAATGTCATCATAATCTGGAAAAGACAAAAGGAAACAAAAGCTCTTGCATTATCCCTGGTAGACACTGCAGTGTGCCCAATGCCAATGACGGGCAGGTATGCTGGAAGCTCCCACCAGGTACATGGTCCTGTCCACAAACCATGTGACAGAGAACAGAAAGACTCACCTTCTCTGAAAGTGCAGAATTTCTTCTTCACTGGTCCAAAGTTCTCGTCACTCACGATAGCAGGGTCTTCCAGAACTTTCTTTTCCACATACACGATCATGTTGTTCTCCTAGAGGCAAAATGTGCCTGAGGCCCTTCCAGAGCCCCATCAGGCCCCACCAACAAACCTCAGTGTAGACCATGGAGGCTTCCCTAAGCCTCCTTTTAACACTGTAACACGCAGGGTAATGACAATTCCTCTTTCCTGGCCACAGGTAGCATTCAATTTGCTCATTTCACATACAGACTTATATCCCGCTGGAGGCTCTGTGACAGTTGCTCTGACTTTAAGGGCTCCCAGCCTGGGCAGACTGGGGCCTCCCCATGCCTTGCTCTCCCAGTGGGGGGTATAGGTTAGCCGGGTACAGGTAAAAGGGCCCTGCCTGGGCTCACCTCCATGAGGTACATACAGAGCTCCTTGAAGGGCTGCAGCAGGCTGGCATCGCAGATCTTCTTGATGACAAGGACGCTCTTCGGAGCCTTGTTCCATGTCAGCCTCTGGCTCGCAGGGTCCTGGATGTGCCTTTGTTGGGAGGAAAGGGAGGTCACTCCACACACAACCTCTCCTCAAGGACAAGGGCATGAGACATGGAAAAGATTAAACATCCTAAAACATGGGCTCAAGGCCTTCGCTCTGAAGGTTGTGTCCGTGCCCTGGCTGCTGCACTTTTGCCAGGCCCGCCACTAGTCCCGGGTCCCCCGCTGGCTGACAGATTTGAGCACACTCCGATTTACAAACAGGGACAACTGCCACATTCCATCCTGATGGCATCCTTCCTGATGCTTCTACTAAAAGGCCCTGCTTGACCACCCCTCACCATCTATGAGCCCAGACTCCCCCCCAAGGCCGCCTCACCATGAATCCAGAACCTCCACGGGCCCCCCAGACCCTCGTCGTTACAGGTGCTGGGTTCCAGCTCCTAGTGAGCCTACCACCTTGGGAACAAGAGCCCCAATCTTGGGCCAAGCCGTCCCCTCGCCCTGTCCAGAGCCAGCACCAACCTCCCATAGCCACCCCCAACCCACCAACTCTGAAGCTCCATCACCCAGGGCCCCTGCAGGCCTGTGTTTCCCACTGACTAGCGTAGGGCACGTATGGCCGTCCCATCTGCACCTTCAGGAGAACCACCTACTCACCTGTAACTTGAATAGTGAAAAGCACCTTGTTTAAAGTTGGTGGTTGCTCCACCTAAGGGCAGTTTCTAGAGGTTTCCACAGTGCTCTGACTTGGGCTGTGTGGCAGAAGCGTGACACTGGGAGCTGTGGCATTCCTCCTAAGGCAGAGCCCACTCTACTCAGCTCTAGAACACCCTGGCAGGCCTGGTGGGCAACAATGACTCCCGCAGGCCCATTTCTGCTGTACCAGCTGGGGGTCAGGGCTGCTGAGGGCCACAATCAGGCCACAAGTACCTCAGCTCCCACACTTCCTCCTTTCAGCTTGTTGGGAAACAGTTTCTAAAACTGCAGTGTAACCCCGGCAAAAAGGTTTCCCTTTCTGATAAAAGCCCCTAAGCTGAGAAACCGGTTCAAAACAGTACCTCACCAGGGACAGCAGCCCCCCCAAATGTGACAGCCCCATGCACCGTCAGTGTTGGCAGAGAGCATGTGTGCACTCACCCAACCCGAGTGGGCCTGGCCAGAGACACCTCGCCCACTGCCTCCTCCGGGAGCCTCATCGCCAGCCCCCTGGATCGCAGCCGCTGAGCAGGAGCCTCCCGTTCCTAGAAGGCTGCAGGGCACCCACAGCAAGTGGCCACGCTGTGCTGAACCGCAGGAATGTGACCCAAGCCCACCACAGGCCTCCCGAGGGGCACTCCCCACTGTGGCCCTAACCTCTGCATCTACAAACCAAAACCAGAGCACAACTGAGCCAGCCCCATCCAAGGAGCTTCCGAAAATGAAACATCCACAAAGCAAACTTGCTTAGCCGTCTCACTGTTTATTGTATGTGGTGCTCTTGCTTAACCTCCCACTTAAAAATGCCTCAAGGTTACCTTTCAGGGCCAAGTGGAAAAGCTTCAGACCGCCCCCCCATACAAAAGCCCATGGAGACCTCCAACCTGGCTCTTCCAGCGTGTCATCCCTGACACACCAGCACCCAGAGAGGAACCTTGAGCTCGGGATACGCGCCTGGGTAAAGGGTGCAGGCTGAAGTGTCTTCTCTTCTGGCTGCTCTTGGCAGTGCCTTCCAGAACTTTCCCAGAAGCAGAGAAAACCGCAGTGGCCGCCAATCTGGTGGCCTATTCTGGCCTGTGGAACCAGCTTACTGCGGGAGGAGCTCTTGGGCCACAGTCAGATGGAGGTGCCCACTCCCCAACAAGTCCAGCACCTGACACCGGCCTCAGGCAGCAAGCGGCTCTAACTGGCTCTGGACGGCCCCTTCTCCCAACACTGGCTGTCCCTCCCCTGCCCATTGGGCAGGGCCATCCAGCCCCAAGGCTCCCAGCTATCCCCCTGCTCAGGCCTGGGCGTCAGCCCCTCTGTGTGACCACAAACCAGTTATTCCACTTCCTGTTGGGCCACCTGTAGCCCGGCAGGAGCCTAGGCCATGAGGGCACCATGCTGTGACAGGGACGTGGCCCCTCCAGACAGGAGCCCAGGCCATGAGGGCACCGTGCATGCAGCCCTTGTCTGTGTAGGGCTGAGCCACATGAAATGGCAATTTCGCATGTCTCAACCCAATATAAACCACGTTTATGGTAAAAATCTCAGTCAGTGAAATCCCTTGTCATGACCCCTCTTGACAATATCTTACTTGTGAACACTAGGGGAAAAGTTAAACATGTATTAAGCTCCTGCCCTGCACAGGCCCTGAGAAGGGGCGGGAGACATGGGAATAAACAGCTGCCCCCATGCCCCCAGGGGACTCTGGTCCCACAAACAGTCCTGGCTCCCACTGTGGTCGCCATGGTGACCTGTAAATGGTGGGGGGGCGGGGAGCAGAGAAATCTCACAGCCCAGAAGCACCCCCAGCTCAAATGCATCCTGAGCCCCTGGTATGGAAGATTCCCCGTGGGCTCTGGCTACGCCCTGACAAGCCCTCATGAGGCAGCACACAGAAAACACCAGAGAGAGCTGCAGTGCAGGGGGTCCGGATGGCCAGTTAAGGCCGGGTGGCTGGGGGCCCCTATCACGGTGGCACTTGGCCAAGACACAAATGACAAGAAGAGGAAGACTGGGAGGAGCCCCAGCTGAGTAGTGGCTGGCGCCAGTCTGAGGCCAGTCTGAGCCTGGTGTGTACCGTGGGGAGCCCGCAGAGGTGGGGCAGCAGGAGCTGGCAGCCAGGACCCTGCTCTGAGCCCCCAGGACTCTGTGGGGCACACAGGGTGTGGCTGTGCCTTGATTGGATCCTTCAAATCGTGGCTGCCGTGCACAGAGCTCCCGGTGGGGACACCCAAGGGGCTGCAGTGGACAGTGCTCTCGTGGGGCCTGGGGATGGGTTTTGGGGTCAAAAGGACAGACTTTGCTGCTGGGTCAGATGGCGAGCACAGGAGGAGCCAGGCACCACCCCAGCGTCTGCAGAACTAGATAGATGTTGGGGCCAGGGAGCTCAGTTCAGGCTGCATCCAGTCTGAAATCCTGCAGGAAAGCCCCAGCCACAGCTAGCAGCAGCCCAAGTCCACTAGGCTCTACCACCTTACCCGCAGCATCCGCCTAAAGGGCATCTCAACAAAGTTGGCCACAAAGCAGCCATCCATGCTGACGGGTAGGGGTGGACAAGACATCATCGTTACTGGGAGTGACGCAGTCAACACTTCACAATTTACGGAGCAGCTCTGCGGACAGCCTGGCTGGTGAGGGCGAGTCCTGCTATCATGCCACCCTGGCGATGTGGGGCCCGTTTGGGGAGTCCTGAGCAAGGGGGCCGGGCCTCCACTCACCCTGCTGCGGCTCTGCTGTCTGGGGACGAGTCCACCATGTGTCACTTCCCGTTAAGGAAGGTGACACAACGACCTACTCCTTTATGAATCTGATGCACTAGAATTCCTCTTCCCTTCACAATCACAGTAAGGACATCGTGTCTCCGTGGCAGGGACGAGATGTGTGGAGGTATAAAAGCTGCAGCCCAAGGCCCCAAGTGTACCATCTCACAGACATGGCCCTGTGGGCTCACCTGAGCAGGTAGGCCACCACATGATTGATCCTCTTATAATGAGAAACGTCCCACTGTCCCCAAAGGCCAAGCCTGAGGTAGAATTTTAACCTTTCAAACATAAGGCAGTCACGTAAGAGTATGTTCGTGTCCCCATGAAACACACACCAGGAGACCCACGCAGAGTGCAGGGACAGGGCGCAGGGATGGGGCACGTGCCCCCTTCACCCCGCCAAACACTGGGCTCAGCTGCACGAGGAGTGGGTGGCAGAGCCCGACGATCAGAAGCTGAGTGAGGTGGCATGAGCCACCTCGGTTTTAGAGTCTCTTTCAGAAACAAATCCCTGGACATACGTGAGCAAGGGGAGTGGGGTCCCTGGGGCCCTCTGGCGTGACACCTGCCCCGGCCATTCGGATGGCACCTGATGGCAGCAAGGTGGGGCACTTCCTAATAAAGAAAAATCAGAAGAGAAGAAAGTAGACAAGTGTGTCTACAGTTTTGAAATAATCAACAGAGAAACACACGTGGCCACCAGGTGTGTTAGTCCGGAGCACAGTCAGCTTCCCCCAAAGCGATTCACGGCTAAAACAAGATCAACCCGAGCCTCTCCTGTCAAGGGCCATCCCACTTGCTGGGCCCACGGCACAGCCAGGATGCGGCACTCATGTCTGCAGGTGCACGTGCTGCCCCCCATTTGGCGCCCGCATACTCAGGGGGCCTGGTTATGAAGCAGTCCACCTCATGTTGAGCGTCAGATCTCTCGTCATCACAGTAGTCATCCCTGAGAGGACCCCCAGGCCCCCTCATCCCTCACACCTCCCTCCCACATGCACTTGAGGCCGGGTTACGAGGTAGCACACCTTGCGCTAAGGACTGGATTCTCGCCATCATGGCAGTCACACCCGAAAAGGGGACCTGTGCCCATGCCCAGCACTTACATGATGGTCTGGGGGTTCTGCAGCACACAGGCCTTTGGTCCAAAAGTGGTCACCGGGCACGGCCCATGCAGGGAGCGGGTCCTCCTGTGGGGAGAGGGCAGTGAGAGTCAGCCAGAGTGGGGGGCAGTGCGAGGGCGGGACACAGAGACAGCTACAGACAGACAGCAGGCTGGATCTCAAGTATGTTTTACTTCTGATGGTTTCAATCCTGTTGTTGCCGGTGCTCCGTGAGAGGTCCCGAGGGTTCCACCTGCCCGCCAGGTGTTTGTGGCACTCACTGCCATGTACAGCAGAAGTCCAGCAGAGGCCCTGAGATGCACCAGAGACCTGAAAGCTAAGTGGCTTCTCAGGACAGTGACACCCAAAGGGAGGTGGGTTTCAGCTGCCCAGACCACATGGGTGAGACCTGGGTTCTGAATTCGTGACAAGTGTCTCAGCAATTCTACGTGAGGCCCAGCCCTCGATCTACAGTTGGGAATCAAGATCTTAGAAAGAGCCCACAATCTAGATTAAAATCTAATGAAAACGTCCAGTCTGAATTGTACGTGCCAATAAGAAACATGCAGTTGAATGGCTGATTTTCCAATAACCAAGCAGTGACCCACCACAACTGAGTGCTGCCATGGCCAGGGAGCTCCTGTGACACAGTAACTCTCAGGCTCCTCCCCCAGCTCCCCTGACATGGGCTCCCACCATCCACACGGGGTCACAGGCCACACAGTGGGGCTTCTGGATGAAGAACGACTGGGGCTTGTTTAATAAGAACTCTCATCAGGATGCCTGGAAACGCACTCTGGGGCCTGCAGACAACAATGTGCTTCCCCACGTGGGGGTTGATGGTCCACCCCCTTCCCTCAGGACAGGTTGCCAGATGTGTCCACCCAGCTCTGTGACAGTCTGGTCTATGTTCCCGAAAATAAACGTGTGCTATGCTAAAAACAAACCCGAACCCAGAACTGAAAGTAATTCTGCCAAGAAAATGCCACCACTGCCCTGAGGTGGCCTGAAGGAGGAGGAGGAAGTGAAATGAAACCTGGCATGATGACACGTCCAGGGAGCTGCACCTGGGCCTCCGAGCACACGGTCAGAGGCTCCAAAGCCCCCCACTAAGTGAGGGGTCATGTGGCTCTTTCCCCACTAGCTGAGACCACTCACTGTTTAAACAGCTTTTTACCAAAGGAGGAGCCATCACTGGCATTTCCCAGCTGTGACCTTTGTCCTGGGGACACAGCAGCGGCCAGCACACTTCCTCCTAACCCATACATTATGGTGCTGCAGTCAGAGGACAGCCTGGTGGGACCCCAGCTCTGGGCGTGGTGGGCGGTCTCACACTGTCATCCACGCCATCACTCAGGGACTTGCAGAGTGGCTGGAGGTCAGGCTGGGGCAGGAGAGAGAGGCTCGCCCATAAGCCCGTCCCAGCATATGAGAGGGTATGAGGGCACCAACCCACCCTGACCATGTGCAGCCATCTCTGCCGAGGACAGAGGGATGTGATGAGGCCTCTGCAGCTGTTGCCCTGACCCCTGGGTGGACCTGCTATGACCCCCCACTCCCCCCACCCATCCCTGCATCCCTGGCGGACCCAACATGACTCCTCATACCACCCTACCCATTAGACCCTCGACTCTCACAGAGAGCAGAATCCCAAAGGTGATGTCCTCACGCCGTACTTCCACAGAGCAAAGCACACTCAGGGCACAGAGTGTGTCCTGATCACAACCACTTCAGTCTGACATCAAGTTAGCATGGGCTCCCACTAGGCAGTACGCAGTGACAACCCATTTGGGAGTGTGGCTCCCAGCATCCCACAGATCCCCCGTGGGTCCCATAGGCCCCCTCCTCTCAGGACAACAGGCCCGCCCCTCCATTCCCATGTGGACAGCACCCCAGCCCCACCTCTGAGTCAAACATCACATTCATCAATATTTATATGCAGAGATATACATTACTTGAAAGAATTCTTGGTAACAGTTCTAATCATATAATAAAATCAAAGAGAGGGTGGCCTATCTCACCTGAACTCCTTGGTGCTCCCCAGGGCGGGGGAGGCAGACAGGCTGCGGGATTTTGCCCGGCCCCGGATAGGATGGCTGTGGCTCCAGTCCTCATCCACATGGCATGCTGCGCAGCAGTACGGGGCCAAGTCTGGGCTCAGCTCCCTGCTCAGGCTGTTCTTCTCCTGTTCCATGGCCACAGCCAGTGGGCGGGGATGTCGGGCAGAGAAACACGGATGCCTGAGTTCATTGAAACAAAGCCAAGTGAATAATCACGTAACTCTAACAATAAAATACACACAAACACACATACACACACTCATTTCAACTAGGAAAAACAGCTCAAGTTCAATTCACCAAAAGACATCTGAGAACTCCAAAGTCTACCTGTGGTTTCCGAATGACTCCAGAGAAGCTGAAAGTCAAAGGACAAGACAAACCACTGAGCCAGAGCTGGACATTTCTATCACAAATCAGGACAAAGGGGTTACCTGCCAAGGGAGGGCCACAGTCAGAAGCAAGTGCCCTTGTGGCCAAACAGCAAGATTAAAACACAGTCACACTACAGACAAGATAGCTCATCCACCAGGCAGAAACATGTTTGTAAGTCATTAAATACCTCTCGGTCCTTGACAGAGAAGGAAGATTAAAATAAATACAGAAGCACACAATAGGTATAATTAACAAGTCCAAGCCAACAGATAAATATTGAACTCCATGTCCTGCAAACAGAGTCAACACTTTTAATCCAGCACCTACGAAACACTGACTAAAGCTGACCTATCAAGCCTCAAAGAAAACTTCAAATTCCAAAGGGTAGTTAAGGTAGAGAACCTCATCTTCTGACCACAATACAGTAAAACCAGGAAAATACGCAAGTATAAACAAAGAAAACAATCCTTCAACCCTTAGGAATTTTAGAACTTTCTCCTAACCAACTTATGGATCAAAATGGATGTCAAAACCAACATTAAGATCAACACGGTGAAGAGACAACCTACAGAATGATGGGAGAAAATATTTAGAAATCACGTATCTGATAAGGGTTTCAAATCCAGAATATATAAAGAACTTCTACAACTCAACAACAAAAAGATTAAACAACCCAATTAAAAATGGGCAAAGGACTGGAAGTGATATTTCTTCAAAGGTGATATACAAGTGGGCAATAAGCTCATGAAGGGGTGCTCAACATCATTATTCATTAGAGAAATGCAGATCAAAACCACCGTTAGTTACCACTTCACACACAAGGATGGCTGTTATCAGAAAAATGGAATGTGGAGTAATGGGAAACCTTGTCCATTGCTGATGGGAATGTAAAATGGTGCAGCTGCTGTGGGAAAACAGTTTGGCAGTTTCTCAAAAAGTTTAACAAAGAAATACCATATGAGCTACCAGTTCCACTCCTGGGTATACACCCTAAAAGTACTGAAAGCAGGGACTCAAACAGATACGTGTACATCAATATTCATTCATGGCAGCACTATTCACAATAGCCAAAAGGTGAAAACAACCCAAGTGTCCATCAACAGATGAATGGATAGCAAAATGTGGTCTCTCCACACAACGGAATATTCTGCCATAAACAGAAATGATGCATTAAGTTTACGTTAATGGTAGTACAATGTTTTGCATGAGGATAGGTATGATGGTGGCACATATAAAAAATGCAATCAATGTCACTGAGTTGTAAATGTGGAAGTTGCTGTGTTGGTGTGTATGTTTTCACAACAAACAAACAAACAAACAAAAAAGAGAGAGAGAAACAACTTTAAAAAAAAGAAAAAGGAGTAGGAACGTTACAACATGGACAGACCTTGAAAACGTTATGCTGAGTGAAAGAAGCCAGACACAAAAGGCCACAGAGTATATGAGTCCATTTATAGGCAATGGCTGGAATAGACAAATGCACAGAAATGGGAAGTAGATGACAGATTACCAGGTGCCGGTGGGAGGGGGAAATGAGAGTTATTGCTTAATGGGTACTAAGCTTCTGTTTGAGGTGATGAAAAGTTTTGGAAACAGTGCTGATGGTTGCACAACACTGTGAATGTATTTAATGTCACTCAACTGTACACTTACAAATGGTTAGTATGGAAAATTTTATGTCCTATAGATTTTGCCACAAATAAAAAAAATAAAACAAAGGTAATCTCTACAATAAACAACAACAACAACAACATCCACACATGGAATCCACACAACGGCAAAGCCTATGAGGTACTGTTACAAGAAGCCACTGAGAACGAAAGTTAATGAACGAAACAGTCACTCAGTGAAGCTAGAAAAAGCATAAATAAGCCTAAGAAAAGCAGAAGAAACAACAGAACAGAGGCAGATGTCAGTACAGGGGAAAGTGAATAAGAAAGACGCACGTGGTAACTAAGTTTAAGAGCAGGGCTTGGAGAAACAATAAATAAACCACTCAATTAGACTGAAGAGTAAAGAAAAAACGCTAGTAAACCTGGAAACGGGGATAAAAAGAACACTTTTCCAAGATAACTGTCAGCCTGGGCCCAGGGAGCAAGCATACAGATGGCATGTGAGCAGCCTGAGGCCTGAGACCCTGGGCACTGGGGCTGCTACCCTGACCCAGAAAACCCACAAAAGGGGTGAAATGGAATGAAATACTTTAGGCCACTTGCTTATGGACACGGACGTAAAAAATCCTGCACAAATCGAATAGAATCCAGCAGCACTAAAAGATCGATATGCCATGACCCAGTGATTTTAATAAAATTCACCACATGAACGAGCAGAGGAAACATAAGATCATCTCAGTGGTGGCTATTTCTACCTTTTGGCTACTGTGAAAAGTGCTGCAGTGAATACTTGTGTACAGGTTTCTGTTCGTGTTCCTGCCTTCACTTCTTCTGGGTATATACCTAGAATTGGGATTGCTGGGTCATATGGTTGTTCTATGGTCAACTTTTTGAGGAATCACAAAACTGTTTTCCATAATGGCTGTACCATTTTAACAGCAATGGATGAGGGTTCCAGTTTCTCTACAACATCACCAGCAGCTATTGTCTTTTTTCTTTTTTTTTTTTTAATCATTGCCGATCTAAAGTGGGTAAGGTGATAACTCATTGTGGTTTTGATTTGCATTTCCCTAATGGCTAATGTTTAGCATCTCTTCATGTACTTGCTGGCCATTCAAATATCCTCTTTGGGGAATTGTCTGTTCAAATCCTTTGCCCAGTTTTTGACTGGGTTGATTGTCTTTTTGTTGTTAAATTATAGAAGTGTTATGTATATTTTGGATATTAGGCTCTTATCTAATATACGGTTCCTGAAAATTTATAGGTTGTCTTTTCACTTTGTTGATAAAATTCTTTGGTGAACAAAAGTGTTTAATTATTATAAGGTCCCATCTATTTGTCTTTTGCTGCTTGGGCTTTTGTTGTCACCCTTGCCCCTACATTTTCTCCTAAGAATTTTAAGGTTTTAGTTTTCATATTTAGGTCCTTGATTCACCATGAATTGGATTTTGTGTATGGTCTGACTTGTTCTTCTGCATGTGGAGATCCAGTTTTCCCAGCATCATTTATTGAAGAGACTCTTCCTTCCCCATTGGATGGGCTTAGCACCCTTGTTGAAAATCAGCTGACCACAGACGTATGCATTTAGTTTTGCACTTTCAATTCTATTCCATTGGTCTATATGTCTATATTATTATACCAGTACCACCCAAAAACCCACTGCCATCAAGTTGACTCTGACTCATACCCGACCCCATAGGGTTTCCAAGGCTGTAAATCTCTACGGAAGCAGACTGCCACATCTTTATCCTGCAGAGCTACTGGTGGTTTCCAACCACCGACCTTCGATTAGCAGTTGACCGATTTAACCACTGTGCCACCAGGGCTCCTTATACCTGTACCAGGCTGTTTTAATTACTGTAGCTTTGTAGTATGTTTTGAATCAGGAAGTGTAAATCCTCCTACTTTATTCTTCTTCTTTGTCAAGATTACTTTAAGCTATTTGGGGTCCCTTGCCCTTCCATATAAATTTGAGGATTGGCTTTTCCATTACTGCAAAGAAGGTTTTCGGAATTTTGATGAGTATTGCATTGAATTTATAGACTGTTTTGGGTAGTACTGATATCTTAAGTATATTAAGGCTTCCAGTCTATAAACACAGAATTTCCTTCCATTTACTTAGGTCTTCTTTAATTTCTTTAGGTAATTTTTTTAAGTTTCTATGTACAAGTCTTTCACCTTCTTGGTTAAATTTATTCCTAGATACTTTTTTCTTTTAGATGCTGTTGTAAATAGTAACATTTCCTTAATTTCCTTTTCAGATTGCTCATTGCTGACGTATGGAAACCTAACTGATTTTTGCATATTGAATTTGTACCTTGCCCTTCCGCTGAATTCATTTATTAGTTTAAATGGCTTTCTTGAAGAATCTTTGTGGTTTTCCGTATATAGGATCATATCATCTGCAAATAGGGATAGTTTTACTTCCTCCTTCCTGATTTGGATACTTTTTTTTTTCTTCCCCCTAGCCTAGTTGCTCTGGCTAGGACTTCCAGAACAATGTTGAAATATAGTCAATAGATTTTTGACAAGACACCAATGTAATTCAACAAGGAAAAGATAATCTTTTCACCCAAGAGTTCAGGAACTTTCTCCTAACTACCACAGGACATCTGTTCTTCTCCAGTGCAGATGGATTATTCTCCAGGATAGACCACACATTAGGTCACAAAACAAGTCTCAAATTTAAAAAGACTGAAATCATACAAAAGCATCTTCTCCAACTACAGCGGAATAAAACCAGAAATCAATAATAGAAGTAAAACTGGAAATTTCACAGAAATGTGGAAATCAAACCACACACTATTAAACAATCAATAAGAAATCAGAAAACACTTAGAGATGAATGAAAATGAAAGCACAACATACCAAAACCTATGGGATACAGCAAAGGCAGTGCTCAGAGGGAAATTTACAGCTGTAAACACCTACGTTAAAAAGAAGAAAGAGCCCAAATCAATAACCTAACTTCACACCTTGAGAGACTAGAAAAGGAAGAACAAAGGAAGCCCACTGCAACCAAAGAAAGGAAATAATAAATATTAAAGCAGGGATAAACAAAATAAAGAATAGAGAATCAACAAAACCAAAACTAGGTTCTTCAAAAATATCAACAAAATCGACAACCCCCTAGCTACAATGACAAAGAAAAATAAAAGGGAAAACACTAGTAACTAAAAGCAGAAAGTGGTGACA